TATTTTTATCAGTACTTTCATAGTTCAGTATCACTGATAATAATCTGAAATTAATTTTTAAGTGTTCATAAAGAACGGGGTCAATTTGATTCACCCACTGTATGTGTTTTTTTTATATTATTGTGCTTCCTTTCAGATGAGTTGACATATTAAAGTTCCAATAGAATGGCATGTGTCCATTTCACTGGATAAATCAATGGGCTGTGTTTTTCTGACTAAACTGTGTAATTTATTTCCAGAAATATACTGAATTACTAGAGTATACCAGAATTGTATTTTAACAATAGTATTATATAGAGTGATCCTCATATTTCCATCTTAAACTAGTCTCTTTTTTTCAGTGAAAACTGCATCCGACCCTGTCACAACATGATTTATTGCGTACTCTCATAAACTATTCCAGTGTGACGGCTGTGTATCTGTGATTGCCCGGCTTTCAGATCGTAATCCACTTGTTTAGTATGGTAATCTTGACAGACACACAATCATGAACATTGTCCTACTGTATACCTTGTTAATGTAACAGTGTTCAAAATGTTAGTGTACTTACAAAACACTTAGAGAGGTTGGTCTGGTGGGCATGATGGTCTATTACACAGTATAGAAATATAGTTCAACTAAAAAGTACTACTCCCAAAATAGCATGCTTTTAGGATTTTAAGATGTAAATGGTTTGTAGGTAGCATTTAAAATCTTCAACATATCAAATATGGACTTATTTACTGACTGTTCAATCTGCACCCACAAAGCATACACAACCTCTGTCATCAGGCATTTAAAATCTATACATCAATATGGAAATAAAATGTGATAGTTATCAAGAATATTACCAAGTCCTGATAAGGATCATGTAGCTGGTACTGCACAGATAATCTCCTTATTCACTATAACCCCAAGTGTGACTTCCATTACACAGCTCCGCCATACTTGGTTGTTTGTACCGTAGGAGGTTATTGGAACTCGTACCTCGACAAGCTGAAGTCACTGTGCAATGAAATATTCCACACTGGAGCTCAGCCACTGCTCCATGGGGAGCACAGTGCTGGGCAAAGAGAAAAAGAAAAATAAAGGGAAAAGTGCCATATTAGAACAAGATCTAATCTACATCGAAAGGCTGAAGAAAAAAGACAACCGTGTTTTGTTTCACTGCCTGTATCAGATTAGTCAGTCCCAACTGCAGTATACTTGTCATCCCATTCACCGTATTAATCACACTACAACATATTACTCTTATCGTGTTAGCTCCTCAAACAGCACAGAGGGCAGCTCCTCTTCTAAAATAATCTACTGCATTATCTGTGTATCACTGACTGTTTGTCTGAAGCACTGTGGAGGGAATTTTGTTTTCTGGTGCCAGCCAAAGCAATTCTCATTATCTATCTACCTTGAGGTTTTGGAGGAGCACTCAGAGTTGGTCTGAATAAAACTGGACGGTGATAGAGTAGGAGTATGGATTTGGGGGTTGATATCAATATTGCATTTTACATTTTTGCATTTGTGAGAGTAACTTTCTTTTTCCAAACACCTGCAAAGCGCATTGATCCATTATTTACATTACTGCTAACGTCATGCTTGTCATGAAGAGATTCCTGTGCAAAGACTGCCAGTGCTTTCGTTCACTTTCTCACATCTGCAGAACCCAAGAGGACTTTTTAAGATGACTGGATTTTAAAGCATGTCCTTTAGTGATAAGAATGAATAAAGAAGAACTTATGTGTAAATGTTCATGTCTGCAGGACTAAAGGAAATCCTGTATTTTCCTAAATTCATAACATTTACAAAATATATGCACTGTATTGTATTATTGTATATTTTACCATGTAATATTCTTTCTTTTCCTTGAAAAAACAATAAACTAATTGAACATAAAAAGATATGCACTGTTACAACAAGCTGATGACACAATCTATTTCATAAACACTAGTTTAGGGGTGCATCTTTCATTACTTAAAATGTAGCTTAAGTACTCTGAGGTCTTACTGCACATACTATACAAACTATCTTACTCTCTAGATTATTTGTCCATTAATTGATATTTTCATGTATTTTTTCCAATTTGTTTCTCATTTGAAAGATTAATTAATTGTATTATAATTAATTAAAAATAAAAAGTAAATATTATTTTAAAAAGTAAAAAAGTGTATACTAAGAAATGTTTAGGATCTGTGAAATGTAATTAAGTCTAAACTCTAATCTTAATTCATGTCGATGTACAGAGATACCTATACAGTTTGTTAAAAATATATAAGTATTTGATAAGCAATACTTTTTTGAAAGGAAGGTTCTTCAGTGATTGCAGAACATCATATACCTTCCTAATAGTATACTATAGATTAGTTTATGGTTGAGTAGTCCAGTGTCATTGCAATAATCTTCATATAATTCTCCATTTGACAGAATAGACAGAGGTTGGATTAAGGAATTATGTCCTGTTCAGGAAGTGATTTAATATGTATTGTAATAAATAAACATCCAGCCTACAAAGTCATTTATTCAGTAAAATTGGTTAGAATGGAGTGTTTGTACAGTATCTGTTTGTGCCCTGTGATGGAATGGCATCCCACCCTGTATCCTTCCTTACTCCTGCTGCTTGCTGGGATAGGCTTAGGCTCCACTGTAACCCTCAATTCCATTAGAAAATGGAATAGATGGTTTAGAATGTTTATGAAAAGAAATATCTTTAGAAATGTTAGTTTCTGACAAATTATTAACAGTCAATATGTGATGGATACAAAATGTTGGTCAAACCAGTAATGAATCAAATTTGCTCTGAACTTAATAAAGTTGTTTCTTTGTTTCCAAGTAATCATGTGACTATTTCCTAATTTAAGGTTAAGCTTAATTGTATTGCAGTTATACAATGTATTTCATAAAAGCCTTTAAAGATAAATGCATATGAAAATAAATAATGTCTTGGGTTATTCCATACTGATTTTACAAATGAAACTCACAAGAACTGTTTAAAATACACTTAAATGTCACTTTTATCTCAGAATTCATAACAAGATAGTGTAGGATTTTTTTTCTTCTGTCAGAGAGAATCAGTAAAGCCATTAGCATTGTTAGTTTGGATACAAGCTGGAGTCGCACAATTGTGCCAAGGTATTGGAGACATTCTTGCAACACTAAGAACTTTCAGATATACCTACATGTAAATGTGAGTTTTTTCATTGGCTGCCAGTGTGATTTGCCTACTCACAACTAAATGACCTGATGGTTGGAGATTATAGGCTTGCAACACTCTGTATTTTGAGCTGTCCACGGGGCTGGTTTCTTTACAAATTACAATCTAGGACTGTGAGTAGTCAAGTCATAAAATATCACAAAAGACTTGAAAAAAGTGCCTTACTCTTGCCACATATACTGTACTAGTGTCAATAAAAGAGTTAGATTATAACTGTTATACTGCAGTATTGAATATTTATTGTTATGCTGTTTGACAGTTTATTTCTTTGTACAACCCAGAATTTGCATGCATGTCTATACTGAATGGAAAACACACTCCAGGCGTATCTATCTTCTGCCTCTGATCTTAATAGTGGCGCAAACTGCTGCTTTGTAAATCAGATTGTTTTCAAAAACTATATTTCTACCCATGGTTACGGAGAGTAATGACACATAGATGGGCTGCAAAGAGGCTGCAACCTTTTGAAAAGATGGATGCTTTGTGCTAAAATCATTTTACTGCTTGGATTTGAGAGGAATTAACTTTGAGTGTGATTGTACATGGCTGATTTATTCTCCAGGCTTTGTAGGAATTACAGGTTCGCCTCTCCCTACAGCGGATGTTAATGTTATATTTCACTTCTTAGCAATTCTTTTCTATTTCCTAGAGAACATTAAAAATAAAGAAATATTTTTTTAAATGAATCAGTAAATTGTTTTCATTTTCTCTTTCAGGTAGCCCCGCTAATCTCACCTGTCGGGCCTTTTTTGGCTACAGTGGAGATGTAAGCCCTTTAATATACTGGATGAAAGGTGAGAAGTTCATTGAGGACCTGGATGAAAGCAGAGTCAGAGAGAGTGATATCAGGTAGGTTAAATATAAAATTGATTCTTTCATATATTATAGCCTTACCTTATATGTAGTATAGAGTCCGCTTACTTAGGGACTTTATTTTGTTTCTTTAGTGATTGAGATTTATTAGTCTTGTTGCTTTTCTTTTAAATGTTTGGATATGTACAGTAATTGTCAGTAATTTTGTGATGTACAGAAAAATATATGGCAAAAAACAAAAGTCTCTTACACATTTTTGGTTCATTTGGATAATAGATATTTATATAGACGGGAAACAAGGAAGCAACTTCTGATCTTGAAGTTTACAATGTTCCAGCTTTTCTTTGGATTATTACAAGTCTAGTCTTTAAACGGTATTTCATTTGTGATTGATGGCAGGGTGCCATAAACTGTTTGAAAGCCATGAAATATGATACTGTAAAACCTAACCCTATAAATATCAGATTGAGGAGTGACACTCAATAAATAAAAAAGGATATTTAATAAGTAAAACATACAGTATACAACCACACATTATGTGTGTGTGTGCATGTGTGGGTTTAAGGGTCTCAGGAAGAATCCTTATTTTGAACAATGAAAGGAAAAAGAAGAATGATTGTCATTTTTTATGTTGCTTAATAAAATCTCGATATTAAAATTATTCACGATTAAGAGAAAGGAAAAGAAGAACACAGCTGAATAAGAACTTACTCTCTGAATTTTTATTACTTGATGGTGAATCTTGCTTTCATTGTTTATGCAATATGAAGTGTTTATTTAGACAGTGTTGTGATGACTAAATTACAAACAATATTTGCAGTTTTATTAACACTTTTTAATGCCTATTTTAAATAATCTGAGGCAGCTCAGGGTTCACTTTCAGATAAAGTACAATGTACAATATAACATTTCCTCCCAAATATACTAATATTTAATGGAGCTGCTAAAGCAAAAGAAAGTTTGACGGTTTCATTCAAAGAAAGATACCCACCCAAAGTTTGTAGCTCATTTTATCTCCGTCTCCACCTCTTCATATGTATATCTGCATGGCATAAAACAAGTGTTAGAAAATTCCCCTGGAAATCAACAGCTTTTGAGCGCATCAAGAATAAACCTTGAGCAATGGCTGCTCTTATTCTGAGCAAAGACATGAGTAATTCCAACAGCCTACACGTGCAAGGTCCACAAGATTAATTTTGTTAGACACCTACAGTGCACACATCTGCAGATGCCGTTCATGGTGTTAATTTTATACAGAGGAAAAAGGCGAATTCCCGCTTCCTTGCTATGATCTTGGTGATTGCAATTGTAATCATTAATGCAGCTCACATTGGACTAGCAAATGCCCCAGGAATCTGCACAGCTGTTTCTTTGCTGAGCTTTTTTCCCCCATGCTGTAATCTGTATAAAGCTTACTTGAATGTCATATTGTCTTCCATTTCACTTCCTTTAGTGACGCTGTTGGGGGTGTTTATGCTGTATTTTTGCTCAAAAAACTATAGTGTTCATTGCCAGCATTGCTGTAACCTACCTTCTATCTCAGTCAACATTCATCAAGAAATGAATGTTGGTTTGCAAAAGCTACAGTATGTAAATGTTCAGAAGTGGCAGTTTCAGTTTACACCAAATTTAATCGACTGTTAGAAACAAACAACATTCAGCAAATAATGTTGAAAGAATAACACCCTAAAATCTACAAAGTAGTGGGGCATCATGCACCTAGAGTTTGCTTTCTTGTTAAACCCCTTTGGTTATACTTGTGTAACACTTTGAAGTTTCAAACTTTATTATTGTTTTGTGTTGAGTGACTTTGAATCAACACATTTTGAACATACGAAAGTCAAATTGGTTAAAACATATGTTACACAGAGTTCATATGAAGACATCGTTAAACATTTTCCTATGGATGACATTTATTTAGGAAACATTTTCTTTTTCACACTTTTGCCTAGAGTACAGTATTAGCAAGGTAACTGAAATTTCGTGGTATCCTTCTATTCAGCTTTTGTCCCTGGATGTCTTTCTCATTGCACTCTGCTTCACACAGTACAAAATATTACCATCATAAAAGATGGAGTTTTCAACCTGTTTTCTTAACGAATGATGAAGTCTGTTTTGATTCAAAATCAGCCTCCATATCAATTTCTTTGTCATAGCTCACGGCTGAGCTGTCAAAATTCATCTGAGTGTTTGTCTGCTCCATTTTGAGTTTGGTGTTGTGCTTCACACAGATATCCTTTGTGTCAGGGTTGCTAATTATAATGTATCATCAGAGTAACAGAAAGTGTCCGCCTACTTTAGAACGGTGTAAAATACTTGTTGGTATCACAACACTCATCTTTTCTTCAAAGTAGACTAAGATGTACTTGGATCCTGGTGTACAAATGAGTCATTTGGCTTCCAGTCGTCAGCTCTAATTCTCTGAGACAAACAGTAACTAATGATGCATTAATTTCATAAGATTTAGAATATGAACCCCCACCCCCATAGCAGCCACACACAATGAATTAAAGTTCTTTTACAGGTTAATGTGAACAAGAGAGCCGCGAACATAAAAATTAGTGACATTTAAAACAACTTTATTAGCTGTGTGAGTTTAAGTCACTGAAGCATTCAAATTGCAGACACCCAATGGAGAATAAAATGAAGAAAAGCAATTAGAAAAATAATAGGAAAAGCAAAAACTGTTCTAAAAACGTTTGCTATTGTGCATGTTGTGTTTTTCTGTGTGGTAATAGGAAGATCTTAGAGTCAGCTGCCTTTTTTTTTCAAAATTGATCATGAAGAAGCTCACAGTACCCTTGAGTATAGATCGATGAAAAGGTAGAATAAGGGCAGCTGATGACACGAGCACTTTGAGGAATCAAAGACTTAGCACAAGATCATGATGGGATGTGTTTTCAATGGTATGGAAGCAGCTTTGCCACTTCAGATTTACATTGAGTCAAAATGCTTTAAGACTGTCCTTTCAGCTTCAGCCATGCAGATATTTTTCTTTTAACTCTCAGAGTATATAGACCAAGACCTTTGCAATCATTTTTGTTCTGTAATGCATAATATGTAACAAACCAAACAATGAACTTAAACTTCTCTTTTCATTCAAGTTAATTCCATATGCATCCATGGTTACGTAGGTCTGTATGTGCTCTGCTAAGTGTCTCTGATTGAAGATCCATTAAAACTAGTTAGCTGTATTGACTGTTCAGTTAAACTCATATTTAAATAAACTGTATTTCTTAAACTCATTGCTTAAGAAAGCTAAGGCCATAAATCCTAATTTCTATTACCAAAACAGTGGGTTCTGAGTTGGAAATGACCTTAGTAAAAATAAATAAATAAATAAATGAAAAAATATCAATCAGTATAAAATTAATTAGAGTAAAGTAGGCTTAATTTAATGTATGCTTTTCCCCTCTGGCTGTAGTAATTAAGACAATTGCAATCCTACATTTATTTCTAACCTTCATTTTTTGCCCAGACTGAGCTCAATGTATACTGCAGTCAGTGTTGAGTTTTAGACTACCATAACAATTTTGGAATAATAATAACTGAGTTTTTTCATCCTTTTCAACTTCATAAGATAATAAAGCCAAATAAAATTAAATTGTATTTGGGCGTCTTGGAAGTGTGAAAACATATAGAATTAAATATTATTACATACTATATTACATGTATAAACTAGAAATTATTGAAGTCCCCACAATTATAGTAAAATTATTGCAATTATAGCATTCTTTCAGTTGATGGTCCAATGGACAAATGTTGAAATTAGGTGAAACATTACCCATTATCAAGAGTCTGTTGACCTTTCAATCTTTCATGGAAACTGATTTTCAGCCCATTTACCTGGACTTTACATGTGGAAAGACTCGTTGTTGCACATGAAAGCTCCCCAGAAGAATTCTAAACAAACTGAGGAGGGATGCTTTCAGTACCTGCAGCCATTCAAGTGTATTTGGGTGAACAGGCGAGCAATCGTCAGTCTAGAATCTCTTGAATCATTCATCTGACTCTGTTGAAGGTCTCAGGATTATGCAATTTGGCTAATCAATACAGCAAACAGCTAATAATGGAAGACTAGACAGGGGGCACTGCTGTCTTGCAGTGCTGGGACCCTGGGTTCAATCCTGGGATGCTATTTGTGTGGAGTTTCATTTTCTCCCTGTGTTTGCTTGGGTATCCACTGGGCTCTTCATTTTCCTCCCACAGTCCAAAGATATGCCGGTAGATTAATCGACTCTGGTGTGAATGTATTCACGTCTGTGTCTGGGTGCACCCTGCAATGGACTGGTGTCTCATTCAGGGGTACCCCGCCTTGCGTCCATTGCTCCTCCTTCACCCTGTACTGGATAATGGTAAGAAAATGGACAGACGGATGGAAAAACACTTTGGCGGGAAGAATCCAGTCACAGTGCAGATTTTCTGTCTTGTGCTGATCGTGCTGATGATCATTCTGGGTCAAAAGAAAGGAACTTTCTGAATTAATCAAATGCGATTTCATATTGTTTTGCCTTACAAAAACAGAGAAAAAAAGTTAGATGCACCAAATGGAATTCCCAATAGGTAAAAAATGTTTTCAGAGTCTGTTTCAAATTCCGCAGAGATGACTTTTCGAATGTCTTCACTTTGAAATCTTATCTAGAAGTAAGTCTTTTGCCAGTGAAAAAAGTATGCGTAGGGATTTTGAGAGCTTAAATAGGATTCAAGATTTGCAATCCATTACTATGATATTACAATAATATACAGTAATTTGGTAGGAAAAAGACTGATTATTTTATTTGCTCCAGAGTGCTAGAGTAGCCTCTGGCTTCCCTGTGACCCTGAAATGGATGAAACAATTAGAAAATGGATGGATGGATTAGGCTCCAAATTGCTCAACCAGCAGATGATTTAATTTAGATTGCAGATTAAGCTGTGACCCAAACATCATAGTTTGTGCTGTATCACATCAATGACTGACTATGACCAGAATTTCCCAAGCAGCAGCAGAGTGCTGCCTCAGCAAAAAGTGTCATCAGCTCTCAACTGTGTTAGTA